AGAAATAAAGTTTCTAAAACGTTATACAAAATCAATATTAAAAAAGAAAATAAGCAGTAAAACTGAAAAATTATTTTGATAAATAATCTTTGATGGAACTGGTTTTAATAAATAAAATGTGTAGGTAATATGTTAATCACAGATAATATATTGCATAGTGTTTATTACAATCTAATAAACTTGTAAGTAAAATCATTCTACTTCTACAAAGCAGTAAAAATTCGTAGATAGTGTTTGAAACATAATGATATTTTCTCTTCTGAAATGTGTATAAAAATGCCTTGAGCTCTTAAAAATTAATTAATTGATTTTATATATATTTTGTCGTTTCTTTGAATAAGTCAATTAATCAATATTACTTAATTGACTATTAAGATAACATAATTTCCTTTAAAAGTTTCATTCGATTATGAAGTTACGTGGTCGATTAACACAGAGGTAAAAGGAATTATTATTTACTTTAACTCAAGAAAGGAATCTCTCACGTACCTCATTGCCAAGTCGACACGACGCAATCGTATTTATATATATGTCTGTTTTTAGTGTAATTACCGTTGCTGTTATACTTATGAGCTTCTTTATGAGTTAGCCATAAAAGTCTATCTTTCCAATATGTGCTATACTGCTATTGATATTATGTCATTGTATTTGTTAGATTACTTCACATAGGTATTTATGATAACCGCTATAATCGTTTACTATATTCCCCCCAGCCGTTCATTACTATAGTATTCAAAGGAAAATTGTAACCGCAAATATGGTACACATTCCTAGTGCTCGTGCATCTCTGAATATTACCCAACGCGAGTGGTTTCACTATAAAATATTATAAACTGCAACTTATTAAACTTATTGACGCATAAAAAAATAAAATATCTATAAAGACTCGATTTATATAAGAGTCAATTTTTTACGAATTAATAAAAACGATGAAAACTTTAATAACTGAAAAATCAATTGGCTGTTAGTTAAGACGAATCAACTACACATTACTACATTACTATATTTACTACACATTGTGTAACAAATTAATTTGGTAATCGCCACAATCTACATAAGTCTTTGTCGTAACATGATAATAGAATAAACGTTATTGAAAAATTTTATTAGGATTACCGAATAATTTATTATGGAACTATTGTTTTAAAATTACAGAATTACAGTTATTAAATGCCTCCACTTGGAATCATTTTACGTAATACTAATGTGTACGACAAATTAGAGATTAGGTGTTGAACCATTTTCGACACAATACAAGTGTATAAAAAAAATCTGTAGAAATAATCTGCTCAAATTTGGCAATCGTCAATACGATTTGGTACATATTTTTTATTTTTTATTTACTTTCCAATACTTAAAAAGTGTCACTCTGACTTGGCAATATATTTGTTGACATTTTTTATCACTGATTATAGTTCTTAAAGTTTACTCAAGTCAGTTTAATATTAGCATAAATCAATACAATTCACTAAGGAAACATTTTAAGCAATATTATTATAAAGATCTGATTGTCAACGCATTTTATCATTTTAAGATTTTTTTTTGGTATGTGCAATATCATTACATTAAATATACATAAATAGGTCAGCTGCTCAAAATCGTTAAGTCAAAGCTATACTTTTAGTATCGAAAAAGTATTTTCATCGAGAAAGTAAAATACTAATTCGATAATAACTATTTTAAAACTTAGAATATTACTTTTTTAAGCTGCATAGAAAAATTAACGCTCAGCGTATAATTATTATTATTATTGTCATGTCATACATAAAAACTGTACAAGAATTACCAAAGAGTTGTTACAAATGGGTATGCATCGTTACATATGTTGTATGTTTGCACAACGAATATGTTTTTTCCATTCCATAAAAATGTAACAATGTTCTAAAACTATGTAATAAGATTATGACTGTAGAAAAATTCTCGACACAAAACATAATACTTAAGCGATATAGAAATTAAAAGTGAAACAAAAATGTGTTGATGCATATGTAGCATCAAATGGTTTATAATTGAAGAGTATTTTTTAGGTAAGAAAATAAAGGTGGAAACCGTGGGACTGTTGTTCTAACTAAGAATATTATGTGTATTCTAAACAAAGATTAACTGCGTATCAAAACACATTTTTATCATTATTTGACGCACTTTCTAATGGTCTGACTGGATTCATGGCACGTGTGTATTGCAAGAAATTTCGAATAATTATTCAATAAATAACAAACATTTAACTGCACAATTGTAAAAAATTCAATGTTACTTTTAGACAGATAAATAAATAGACAAACAAAGGTAAAGATTACATAGCATCAAATGTTACTTCCGGTAAGCGTAGTTTTTATTTCAAAAATGTTGTCATAAATAATGATACGTTTTTATATTGTATAACTTTTATATTGTTTTTAAACATTTATATCCTGGAACAGGATGTTAATCTGTCGCCAGAGAGAGGGATAAGTACTCCAATTACTGAAATGATCTCTCGTTCAGCAAAAGGAGTTGTCCATGGCAGAGTATCTAATCCAAAAGAATGTGAATCAGACACTGTCACTCGGCCACACAATTCATCACCTACTGTTATTCAGGAGCGGTTTATAAATAAAGTCAATTAATTAAAATGTTAAAAATTGACTTTAACGCGTAGTTATTGAAAAATTGCGTGTTAAATACAAATGCATTTACATTTTACAATTTAATCGAAAATACAATCAAAAGTACATTAGTTAAAATTAATACATTAGTAAATTAACACATTAGTAAAGTATACTGCAATAAACAAGTTTTTTTTATAGCAGAGGCACTAATACGATTTTTTCATAATTTTTTTATTTATATTTAATGTATTCAGCGGAAATACAACAATGCAAATTGATGTTACTATTTTACTTTTCATGTGAAACTTCAAATAATAACGTATTATGAATTTCTCATCCAACTACTATAATAAATAATAATATAACATCATATTGCATAATAAACGAATATAATTTCGACCCCTATTTTATATTAATATAATTATAATTTTTTTTATAGCCTTTGTTCCTCTGATATATACATTTTGAAAACCCAAGATTTCCCAGGTTATGTGTAACTTAATATATCAAAAGTATTTAATAAGAGGTGATGTTTTATTTATGATAAAACTAAAGCTAACGAAGATTGTTTATGTTGATTCCTTTTACGGGGCAAACAATTTATTTTTTGGGATCTTGTTCAAATTTCAATTACACACAAAAATATTCCTAAATAAATTTATTAAAAATTTGAATGAATAATAAACAAATATATTTAACAAATTTGTTGTATTCGTTGAGATAAAATTTACTTCCTTATTTTTAAAAGAATTTAAACATTTTTTTTGATACAATGAAAAAAATATATATACAATGTATATATATGTTGTTGATAAAGAACGACACTTTCACTTACATAATAACTTAGTTTAATGTAGTCCACAAAATCAAAGGTCATGAAGTAATATTAATAAAGTAATATATATAATCAAGTGTCATGATTTTAGAATAACTGTCGACATATGTAATAGAGCAAAAGGAATGAGAATGATTTATGAGTGTTGCAGAATAACACAATACAAATTGTATCATATTTATTGAACATGAATAAAAATAATTAAGTTAAAGAGATTGATCATTCACTACTTACAATTTATACACAATGTTTTTAAACATACCATGTTTTCTTTAACTGATATTTTTACTTTTAACTTGGATTGTATTTGTCAAAGTGTAATAATTTATTATTTAAACGTGTACGATTAAAAAATCGTTTCTTCCCGAATGATACACATCTATTTAAAAATTAATCAATGCCTAAATATTAATCATTTAAATTGTTCACCTTATGATTTCACTTTTACTGTAATTAATCTTAATTATTTAGGTAAATGAAAATATTTAAAATAGAAACTCAATACAATTATTCTCTAAAAAAACAACTAAATTAATTACCCGTATGTTTATACATTTTATTGAGAAGTTTTTATAAAATTAAATTAAAGTTTCTCAAATATGGTCGCAGTACATTTAAGTGATCACGCGTGGATCCATTGGACATTAAAGAAGAATGTTGTATCTATTAAATGGTTTACAGTAAGTGTTCAAGAGCTACATTTACTTCCATAAATATGGACATCAAGGTATTCTTTGGTAAAAATACTCTTCAGGTAATTGGTTTTCAGTATAATTTATTAATTCAATTATGTTCTCTGTGACCTACTCCAAGATATCACAAAAACGTTGCCTTAATAACATTATATACTTCATATATGAAACAGATCATGAGCTAAACGCAACTAGTTAATTTTTTCTAGAAAGTAACATTTTTATTTTATTTTTAAATCATTCAATTATTTTAAATGGCTTATTCAGTATATGGGTCATTTTTTACCTAAATAAATAAACACAGAATTATAACCAAAAAACAAGTTGCATAATTATTTATAGTAAAAATAGTAATTGTAAAGACAGCTGAACACTAATTAAAAAAAAAAAACCTATCGTAAGATTTATTGGCGAATGGATACAATTACATATTATCAACATGTAATTTCTCAAATTAATAGAAACCGAAATTATTAGAATTTTTACTGAAATTTAAAATTGCATAATAACTTATATGCAACATTTCTAATCCAAAGAAGGAAGTATGGTAGCTTATTATTTATCATTATCAAATAAAATTAAGTGAAATTTCAACGCCAATAAAAATGTTCATCATAATTATTAATTTTACAAAGAAATTAAATAATTATCTAATTTCTAGTTATATACAATAAATAATTTGAGTTCCTATTTAAAGTTTTTTTTTAAACTGTGTTTAAAAATAAGGCTGTCATCCTTTTTCTAATGATTTCGTGGACTTATTAATATACGTGTTCTCCGATTGCGTTACATAATAATTAATTATTTTAATTCATACATTTCAGGGTGTACTAAAACTTAGCGTTTAAAGTTAAACTATAGATTTTATTGCACTTCTTTACTCACCATATTTCACCAGTAGATTTGCATAGTAATTTTACACAATCCAGACAACCTCTGGCAGACGCATAGTGTAGCGCCAGTGCTCCGTTGTTGGATCTCTCTAGCACCGGCATGTCCGCTTCCCACAACAGCCACCTGACCACGTTCACTCGACCATATCTGCTCACAAAAAAAAAAAAAGTCTATGAATACAATGTATTATCACTGCAATGACTTATTGCGGCACAATTCAAGTACAAGTATATTGTTACTTAATGAATAGTAAGAAAACCAGAAATATCTAATTATCGATTAAACAAGAGCTTAAAGTCATGTAATAATTAGGTATTCTTAAGTGTGACTAGTGAACCGTTAAATGTTATAGGTTTTCCGTATTAATATATTGAAAGATAAAATATTTCAAATCAATAAAAACATCGAAACAGCGTTGCAGCTAAACAAAATTTACCAACTTCGTCTTGATGGAACTTTTANATCTAATTATCGATTAAACAAGAGCTTAAAGTCATGTAATAATTAGGTATTCTTAAGTGTGACTAGTGAACCGTTAAATGTTAGAGGTTTTCCGTATTAATATATTGAAAGATAAAATATTTCAAATCAATAAAAACATCGAAACAGCGTTGCAGCTAAACGAAATTTACCAACTTCGTCTTGATGGAACTTTTACTTTTAATTTTTATCGTTTTTCTTTTAGATAAAAATTGCACTTGTACTTTTAACGCAGCAGTCTTCATTTAACTACTGTCGATACGTTTAAAATATACCCATTTCGTTATAAGAGTACTTAAAAAATATCTGATATAGTTTTTATCGTTGATTTTGTGACTAATTTACAGCTACAAACACTTAATACATGTGTTATGAAACTAGCCATAAGTTATACAATTATATTAGAATACCTTCGATTTAGATCAATTAGTGTTGCAATGAAGGTGTTGTCAAAGTGTGCCATTAACGAAGTATGACATATAGTTACATTGCATGATTATTTAATCTTGTTTATCTATATATTATTCTCTTTATGAAAACTTTTATAAGAAATTACAACTGTTTTATTTAAATTAGATTGTAAATTAATTTTAATATTTTATTTAATTAAAAATATCTATACTTACAGTAAAAAATGCATTTATTTGTAAATGTACTTAATTAAATTTATTTATAAAGAACCTACTAATTCAACAAATGGATATTTTTTTCTTTTTAAATATTCAAAAAAAAATTTGGATGTATGTAAAGAACATTAAAGTAAAAATAGTATTAGTATAGTTTTAAAATACAAGTTATACAGAATTGTTAATTTAAAGGTTACAAAATTAAAACAATAATTGTAATAAAAATAATATATTTTTAAAAGTTATTAAAATTGAATAATGAATGTCTAACTACTTAGTTTGAATTTTTATTATCCACGTGGTCGCTTTTAAAGTAAAACTAATATTTTCACATCATATAGAAAATATAGGTTAAAACTCCTGAACATAATATGATAGGCAACACAACCAACTCATCACATATAATCTAGTTACAATACAGGCGTAGCGCAAGAAATAAAGTATGTTAAGCTGTCCTATAATAATCACATAGAGTTCACTGAAGTTTAAGGTTATTATGGTTATAATAATAAAATAATTGTTCAACGTGTAGTTGACAGTAATCATTTTTAAACAGAGCGCATCAAACAAAACATTTTAATCGAGATTTTATGTCAAACAACCGTAAATGTTTAACAATTCTAACTATATATTTGTGTAATTGTTTTGTCGAGCCTCGTGATTCGAGAGACCAGAATCTGAAATAAAATTAATTATATACAGTATAAATATATTGAAAAAGCAAAGGATATATTTCACTCTAAGAGATGACTTTATTGGTTATTAAAAAATGTATGATTCAAATTTTCATAGTAAATGTTAAACTTTTTGTAAACATGATAATTTAGGTGTGATTACAATTTTTTCTACGTAAAAACATATATGTATTCGAGTACTTATATAACATTTTTATTTTAATAAATACTAATTTATTTAAAAGAAAAATATTTCAATTAATTTATGTGTTTAGTTTACCTTTGCATAATCTTTTAACGCCTATTGTTAAATTGATAATTCTAATGACGCTGTACATACTTAATACAAAAGTCTTTTTAATGGTAGCCTATCAGAATGTTTTATTGTTATTTCGTTATATATGTATAGCTTCATTCCAGTTTTTAGAAGAGTTATGTATTTATAATGACTATAATTAAACATCGTACACATTATAAAGTGTTTAAATTGTCTTTAATAGGTTTATTTAATTTTAGAACTTCTTACGTAATTTGAAAATATATCGAACTAAAAGTTCTACTTTATAGTGTAACAATACTGAACAATTTTATTTTAATACCAAAACCAATTGTTATTGTTCTTTAAGAACCAACGAATACGTGAATTTTAGTGAAAAAATATTTAATTCAGACATTTGTATGAGTATCGTTTAATTATACGCAAATAACAATAATTTTTATATGTAACGTTAAATATACTCTCTGTATTAATTGAATTTATTTTTAATAAATTAACTGGACAGAAAATGTTAAATGTGGCAAGATAAATGAATCACCTTAAGTTTTCTATTTTTACGCGACAAGACTCAGATAAAACGTGTTGATGACCAGTTTTCCGTATCGTTTCAACATTTTGTTCACTGTGAGTCACTATCATCAGGCTATCCTCAAGCTCTTCTTCTTGAAGGTTTTCAGTGACAATCTGATCACCATCATCTCCTCGTATTTCCACTACTGTTGTATGTATATTTTCTTCTTTATTTTGAGCTACGTAATAAAAATCCGTATCGGAAGTCATAGTCGATGAACAACCGGTATTGGTTTTACTAGGAGTTTCCGGAGGATCTGGCTTTTGTACGGATTTCAGACCGGGTACGATTCCATAGGAGTCCATTCGAGTTCGTATGTTAACAGCTGGATATTTCGAACTGATCCTGTGTACTCGAACGGTAGCATTACTAGACGTACTGTTTTTTCTGCGTTTTCGACGTAACTTGCTCGAACGAACCGATCCGGTATTATCATTTGGGTACCGAGGCCCGGCCGTCCAAGTCACCATCGACAAGAGACTGCCTCGAACCCGATCTAATAACGACGACGAAGTGGGATTACTCATGTGCGTACGCGACCCCAACGATCGAACGAATGTGACCAATGTGTTTGTACCATCGTAACCGGTCGCAGGGTCACCGGAAGTCAAAACAATACCACCAGGACATGAGGTATACGCGTGTGCGTGTATATGCTGGCCAGTCATCTCGTTCATTATGGTACTCAACCGTCACAGTTTAATTTACATACTTTGTATATTTTTGTTGCACGTCAAAATAACAGGCGTTTAACCCTTCCAATAGATCACCAAATAGGTGCCTCTTTCATGGGTCCACTGTTCAAAGGAAATCACACAACAAGTAATAACCTAATGCATGTGATTTATGCTGACCATATAATATAAATCATATGGTAAATGAAATACTAATGAAAAGAATTGTGAACTATTTAGGTTTATTATAATTATTTTTGTACAGTTTCAATTCCATTTTGAAATGTAAAAACTATATAACTTTTAAACGTTGACCCTGATTTCTGTATTGATGATGATTATTTTTCGTAGCACATTCCACGGCCACGCATTTTTTGGCGGTGTAACACTCAAAACAATAGCGCAACAGATGTATACAACGTTAATTGATTTTAAAATGTTATGGCTTAATTAAAAATTAAGCCACCGAAGGATGTATCAAAGTTTTTGCAGAGTCCAATGTGTTTAATTACAATCTGTATACCTCAGGCTTTGACACACTCTGCGGCGTGTCTTTGATAAAACCCCATACCTATTAATAGATCACTTGAACAAAAATGATTAATTTTTCATTTTTCTGTATATTTCCACAGTAGGTGATCGGATGTAAAGAATACCGTCGATAGTAACACTCTTACATAGTGGTAATAACAATGTTATGCATTGAAAAAAATACAGTTATGAAAAACTATTTTAGATTTATTGGTAATAAAAAGTCATACTACTTTGGTAAGTGTTTCATATTCTACGTGTACTTAAACAAAAATCCGTATTACATCGAGTGCAACTTAAAATAGTTTACCCAGAAAATAGAAGTAGTGTGTCACTAAAAATATTAATAATGTTATTTAATTACATGTAGTAAGTAGACGCATAGTTATATGCATTCAAGTAAGTTCTCTACGCATGTAATATTATATAACGGTGCATAGTGAACATCATCACGTTACTTCATCCTGTTCCGGGGCGGTGGTAAATTTAATAACTATGACTCTAATCTGTCACAATAATTGTAATTACTATGCTCCAGGTTGATTTTTGTCAATTAACTGTACGCCTTTAAATTAGTGAAAAATAAAATTGAATAGGTATTTGATAAATGGAATTTTTATTGATACATAGTCAAAATACTAATCTAAAAAACCAATAATATTTCGTTCAATCTCGACTGTAGGACCATAAATGAAGTGTTTGCATAGTGCGCTTGCATGTGAACTATGTTAGTTGTCAACGGTTAGACGTTATAAAACAGTCCATAATGAGCTAATAAAAAAGAAAAGTTGAGATTTTCATTATGGCATTACAAGCAGAGAATAGAAAAACGTGATTTCGAATAATTGCACATGAAGTTTTAAATTAATTTTTAAATCGCATAAATCGGTGCACTAATCAATATTGGCACTTATACACGTTGTTGCTAGTAATAACACACTTTCCACACTCTTTAAATTCAAACTTATACGATAGTGTTGTAGTTCGTTAGTTGATCCGAAAGTGAAGGTATAAAACTACATACTTTATCTCCCGAACAGACAGGAATCCAAAGAACTTTGTTATAAGATTGCAACGCTTTAGGCTATAAAATGAAATCGGACATTGACTATCAAAAATGTATATTTAAAGCGAGTATATATTAATTATGGTTATGNTAGGAATCCAAAGAACTTTGTTATAAGATTGCAACGCTTTAGGCTATAAAATGAAATCGGACATTGACTATCAAAAATGTATAGTTAAAGCGAATATATATTAATTATGGTCATGAAAAAAAAAGTAAAATTAAACATTGAGATGCGTGAGTTTGTCATGCAGACGAAGTTCAGTCGACTGCAAATAAGCGAGTTGTGAGGTTAGTTGGATACAGTAGCCGATAGTATAATTTGAGAAAATAATTCTTTATAATTAATTAAAACTGTAAATTTAATTTTTCAATACTTCAGTATATATCTATCAAACAAATTAAATGAACGAAATCATATCAAAATTTCATATGGGAAACATCAAAAGTGGACTTGGACTCTTATGCTTCTCAAGTACAGAGTTGTACATTGAAATAATTTCCGAATTAACATTGGGTAACATTTTAGACGAGATAAATACGGGTACCATAATATTGCTATTTTTTAATTTTTGTTTCTTGAACTAATTATAATCGACAAAAAGTGAAACGCGATAGGTCACACAAGAAACATACTCCGGGCTTGGTCTAAAAATCAAGCCTGGATCACTTGTGGTTGACCTAACATATACAAAGTTAGTAAATAAATTATACCACCCGTAATTGGCTTAAATACATTTTAATTAGGAAACTCTATAATTTATTAACATAGTACGATCATGACTTTTGGTAGTAATTATTTAATTGCATTAAAATTCAAACTATCTATTCAAACCCCTATTTTTTTTTTATAACTTCGCATTTTAAGTGAAAAATGTTCAGTATTATTATACTATCATAGTACTATTAACAATGCCTAAGAAGTCTTTTTAGGAAAATTAAAAAAATTCAGCTTGACTAAAGATTTTAATTAAGGCGATTTATTTTAATGTTTTAATAACAATATGTGAGAAATTATCAAGTAGCTAAAACAATAAATTTTATATTGTTATATTTTTACTGCATATTTTCATTTTATTTTTATATTTAAACTTTAAATACTTTCTAAACTATCACATTATGCAAAAACCACTCACTTAATTTGTATAAATTTTCTGGATCTGTACACTCAGCTGTCTTGAGCCCATCCTCAGATGTACCTGTTTCTAATAGACGTCTATGTACAATAAATTACCACGTATATTTTACTGGTGAGTGCGTTGACCAGATCGGTTGCTCGTTATGTGAGACTACAGGACCGTGTCTAACTTTTTAAACGTACCCATACACTCATTAACGTCACATTAACATTATTCTGTATGTATAACACAATAGAATAATATTTAAGATTCTAAATTTTGGAGAAAAACATCTCCTCTTCAGGGAGCTGCTTGTAATAATTTTTTAACCCTACACTGGTTTCATATTTATCTCTGAACTAGGAATATTTATTTATAAAATTGGCACGTGTTTAATAATTATAATTTTAAGTGTAAATAAGTCAACTTTCATCTATAGTTTTTAGTTCAAATATTTTAATATCCTAGACATGAAAATTATACAACAAGGTTCTTGCAGTTTATTATACCAAATTATTTAGGAAATAGTTTAAGATGTTTCATAAAAATGCGTTTAACATTCTAATGTATTTCTCTGTAATTTAATATTTTCAGTCTTTTTATTTTCAGTTTATGTTTATTACTTTATCTGGCCATTCAGATGTAACGTCTGTGCAATCCGGTTTTGTTTTTATTACACTTGATTTTCTCGAATGATTCGATTTCTATGACCCACATTTTTTATGCCAGAGTGCACATGTAAAAAAAACCTGCGAACGACTTAAGGGGCAAAAATTAATATGCAAAAATACACTACAAACACGGTGATAATAGCAGGCTAATAATTCAAATATTTCATCTGAGGAAGAATGCATAGTCATTCATAGACATTTCCGGTTGATTTTCTTTAGTCTACTCAATAAAGTTATGTGACTTCATTATGATCTTTAATCAATTATAACATTTGCAATTGTTTTTACTGTGAAAGAAATTATGTAAATAAACAATTTTCAATTTCGCAAGTCAGTGATGCGTTCATGACAATAGTTAATAAAGGAAACATCGAAAAAAAAAACTATCTTTGACATTACGTATTAAGAATGAGCGTGAAATTACAGACTAGCGCAAAATCTGTTGAGTAAAGATAAAATCGTCAACGGATTTATACTACTGATAGTTGCGTGAAAATTTTAATCACAATAATTATAACATATCTGTTGGTAAGATTCACGCGTTAATCAAACAATCAAAAACCAGTTTTTGTATGTGTGAGGTAAAATCATGAAATGTTTGTTTACACTTTGTCATTCGTGTTACACCCATTGCACTTTCCAACGAAGATCACGAAAATGAAAACACGATTAGCGCATAAAAATAAAACAAAAAAATAATGGACATTGACGGACTGAATTTGTTTATTCTTTTAAGTGGTCGCCGTAGATCTGATAGGCAATTCGTAATAGATGATTTCACCAATTAGGCTGTTTGTTACAAACAATTTATTGCCCGAACGTTTATACAAGATATATTGTGTTCTCTTAGATTCGATCTAATTATACGTTCGATTGTCAAGTGCATCTGACCACTTTCTCTATGAGAGCAGCTTATTTGCTTTTGTAATAAAGGAGATCAAAAAACAAAATTTGAGATAATTAAAAAAATAAAACTGTTCAATGATGTTTGATTTTAAATGCATTTGATTTAAATAAAATAATATTGAATCCTAACCTATTGGAATATTGAGCAATATGAAGATGAGTAATAATTGCGCTGTGAATTGCGTGATAAACTTTTGTCCGTTATTGAATCTACGGCATTTTATTTTGTTTGTATGTTTGATAATAATATATAAGATATACCTAATAACATATAAGATATACCTAATAACATATTTACACATAAAATCTAATAACTGTAATTTTCAGGATTCAATTCTTAATTTTATCATGATAAAAAGTAGAGATATGTTAGGAGTACACGTAAAAAGTGAAATGAAGTACATATAGTCTTCTAATAACTGCATCAATCATAGCAATATATCACGTTATGACTTACTGTTTAACTTGGATAGGAGTTAAGGGGGTTATCCTTTTACAATGACTTCATTTTTCAAATTTGTTATTATTCAAGAAGTGAAGCCATACTATTATCTTTTAAGTTTTTAATAACGAT